TATGAACTATGGACAGTCTTAAAATTACAAGCCCGACAAAAGGATGGACTCTTTCGAGCTAGAAACAGAGAACATTGTTTAAAAACTGTGTACGGTCATTTACAAGTCATTTAAGGCGTAAACTGTACGGTCGTAGAATTATGAAACCAAAGCAAACACAAGAAACAGGAGGGATATGAAGTGTAGCGCGGCCATGAAAAAAATCACAACGGTTGAAAAACGGTGTACAGTCAATTTCAAACCCTTTAAGTAACGGTCCATATAAGAAGGATAGTACCACACGGTAAGGAATGCAAAAAGGTGCTAACTTTTGCGCAACTTTGCTATTGCTGTATCATTCTTCTGATTGGCTCAATCAACAAACTCTAGCGAAACTTCAGGTAGCTGTATATATATTTATGCGTAATTAATCAACGATCTTCCTTTCAACTAAACCTCTTCTGAGTCTAAATACTACAGTAATCCTATGTGGGGAACATTGGAAAATTGGAAACTTTTATTGTCTTTGTTTACGACTGTTTTGATTGGTTGAATGTTTTAACAAAAAGGAAACTACCTTTCAAAATAGAGTTTAAATACATTTTATTTCATAAACCTGCTTTTCATCGGTTGATACATTCTCCGTATGAAAACAAAACCGTTTCAATGTAGGGAAAGCGCATTGTCGCAGAACAATAGAAAATGCTACAGTTCTTATGTGGATCATTACTTAAAGTGTACGGTCATAAACTACAATAGCAAAACAAAACCAAAAAAGCAAGAAATACTATAAAGAATAGAACAGTCATTGATGTAGCGTGAACTATGAGTGTAGAACGGCTGTCAAAAAAATGATTATAGTTTTAAAGCAGTGCACGGTCATTTACAAATCGTTTAAAGTTTACTGCGTACGGTCAAAAAATTATGAAAACAAAACGCAAAAAATGAACAGGAAATCTATTAAGCATAGCACGGTCATCAAAATATCATTGATAATAGTTTTAAAACAGTTTACAGTCATTTCCAAACTTGTTATTTGTTCGGGATAAGACACGAGCTAAGGTACAAATCTCTAGGGAGTGCCCTCTTAAATTTCTTTAGATATACTCCGTGCGTTATGTTGATAATTTTAGCCTGTGTCATTTTGTTTGATTTTATCGTAATGGCATGTTAAAATATGGGGATTCCAAATGAACATATTATTGTTGTTGCTGTTTTCCCTACTCGATCGACCATCTTGTTTGTCTTCATGCATGCTACACCAAGTGTATAAGTCAGCTTACAAATGCTGTTTAACTTGTAAAATATGTAGCTTACAACCACATTAATTGAAATTTGGCACAATACCTCAGCATCATCTGACAATGAGTGTCAAGTAACTTCAATTGAATGAATAGTCTATTTATTTTCTCTTTGATATTTTTTGTGTATAAGAGCATCTCAATGAGGTGGGGTACCTTCAGTGACGGTTACCGTAAATCCTCGAATTAGTGCCTGGGGCGCTTATTTCAAATTTAGGAGAAGACGGGGGGCGCTTACATGATGGAGGCGCTTAATCGAGGAGGGGCCCTTATTTTATTTTTCCCAAATTGTGACCTGGCATGATCATTTTTTTAATACATAATCTGCGCATAAACAACAGCATAAGCTGCTTATCAACACAAAAAGCTGATCTTAAACTTTAAATCGCAGCACCGTTAGTACTTGTAATTTTTTTCCGAACTTAACGTGTTCACAAACGGAAACAATGCACAAATCTAATACTACATGATGAAAACTATACATCCTTTTTTGTCTCATTATTTGTCCACAAGATGGGGGAAGGGGAGGGGGCGCTCAGTCGAAGGGGGGGCACTTATTTTAAATTTTGGCCGATAGGAGGGGCGCTGATTCGAAGGGGTCGCTTATTCGAGGGGGCACTAATTTGAGGATTTACGGAAAAAGTTAAAAATATTGTTTTTTCGACGGTTGACAGTGAACAAATTCGGGCATTTGACGTTTAACGGCTTATTGTGGATGGCTATTGACAGTTGATAGTAAAGTATTAATACTTATTTTCCTTTTCAATGGCTGACAGGTAACCCTTCTAAAACCCTTGGATAAGGCCTACTCCTTGTGCTTACTAACAACCTAACGGCAAGATCAGGCAAACGCCAAATGACCTTACAATTGATTTTTTATGTCCAGTGTGAACAACACAGTGTTAGAATGAATATATATTGGAACATCGCTGCCAATGAAACAAAAGATACAGAGGTTATAACTTATACTTACGTTAATTGGGCAACATAGTTTGCCCATTTTGTTCTTTACACTCAGTGATCAATTTTGAATACCCATTTGAATCATTGATTTCCTTGATCTACTCAAGTAATCTCCATTGCCATTGATATAAAATAATACATTTTCAAAAAGAAACATCAAGGTTAGTGCAATTCTAGCCTTAAAGGCTTCAATCTGACAAAAAGTACGCATTTTGGTTGATTTCCCGCCACATTTAGCCATTTCACTTAAAAACCGGCCAAAATATGCAAGGTAATGCAGAAAAAAACATACCATACTATTATCTATGCAGTTTTACACTCTCGTATAAATTTTCAGCCATATTGGTTAGAAGTAGCAAGTTTTATTTTGATTTGAAGTCGTGTTTGATCTCCCGCCGCGAGAAAAAATTGACTCTTTGCGATTCAAAGTATTGTAACTCACTTGAAATTTCTTAAAATTAGCTGAAACTTTTCTCACACTTGCTTTAACACATTATAAGTATGTGTGAATTTATTTAGCTTATTACCTCGTAAATGACTGAAGTGACATTAATTCTTGTCGGTGTGGTTCGAAAAAAAAAGGTGAATGTCATTTCTTCAGCTTTGAATCCAGTGCTAGTCATGCAAGTACACCTGAAAATTTTCATAACTCCAAAAATCGATATTGCTTCAATGGAGGTAACATAAGGTAATGGTATGGGAGTCGGGTGAATCATAATTGATCATGGTTTCCGCGAAAAAAAAGTTTCCCACGATTTTTTTGTGTTTTTAGAGTAAAATGGCTGTTTTCCCACCGGATCCAAAAGTAAACAGCTAAAAATTCATGAAAATTTAGCATAAAAGAAAACGGTAAACTGGATTTTGGAGATTTGTACTTATAAATTGTCTGTGCTTAGTTTCAGCTTGTCACATTATGTCAAGAAATTTGTTTGGACTTTTAAAAAACCAAGTTTTCCCTGGCACCGAAGTGTTTGATGAGGAAGATACAGAGAGAGAGAGAGAGAGAGAGAGAGAGAGAGAGAGAGAGAGAGAGAGAGAGAGAGAGAGAGAGAGAGAGAGAGAGAGAGAGAGA